CATCCTCCCTCCCGTCCCTCCCCCCCGACTCCAGCGCAGGGTAAAATTGATCAGTGCATATTTATTGATGGTTTGAACACTCAAAAGAAGGGGGGCGGGGGAGAGACGTTGCCATAGAAACATCGATAAAGCTCCCGTCTCCGCTGCGAGATGCGAGCGCTGCGCCTGCGTCCCCCGAACCGGCGGCCTTTGGTGGGGTGGGAGTCGAGAGGGATCGGAGGTGGGTTTGGGGGTGCCCAGGGTGGGGGGACCGCGTGGGCTCAGCCACCCCGAGTGCCACCGGGTTTGTTGGTCGCTGCTGTGGTCCCCGCGGTGCGAGATGGTTACTGCAGCAGAGGTGCAGGGGAAGGAAAACGCCGTTCCACTCCCTCGCAGCCGGCGCCGTCCTCGTGCGAGGGCCAAATCCTGGGATCATCCGTATCCCTGCAAATCCCAAGTCCCTCCCGTTCTGCACCCGTGGGGCTGTGACCCACGCGCAGCTCCCCGGAGGAGCCTCCTCTTGCGCCTCCATTGCTCCTCGCTAGCCCTGGCCGCCCCATGGCTGGTGTTTGCCTGCCGGTCCCAGCTCTCCTCCATTCAACCTTCTCTTACACACCGCTCCTGCTGCCAGAACAGCTCGCACCGGTCCCGGCAGCACTGTATTAAATGGTCTGTCTGCCTGATGGATATTACAATGCATCTCTTGGAGCCTGATTTTTGGGTTTTTATTTTTTTTTTTTCCCCCCAACCAAGTCCTGCCACGGTCTTTGATTTTGAGGGTGCAATTTAGCACTTGCAAATAATTGCCCTGCTTCATTTTTGTGCCTGCAATGAAATATTAGCAGTCGTTAGGTGTCTAACTTGCCGTTAGTGCCTGCAAGCCAGGTAGTTAGACCTCTGATTACTAATATCTCTGCCTGCAGTGGCAGGCACAAAAGCAAACGTCGTCGTTGGCATTGGCAGAGCTAAATCTGCCCAAAGGAGGAGAAGGCAGTTGCTGAAGAGCGGGGCTTGTCCTTCGCAGCCGTGGCTGTGCTGGCTTCTGGGGCTAGCGATTCCCCAAGCTGCACCGTTGGCAGCAGAGGGGACTGGAGAGCAGGAGGACAGCGAGCACCCATTGGTGGCCCTGGGTAGGTGCAGGGGTCCTTGTTTCAGCCCCTCTGCCCCCAGGTTGCTGCAGCAGCTACAGGTGGGAGTAGGTGGTGATGAGGCCAGGAGGGGGTTAGGAAGGACCAGCTTTCAGGCAAGTGCTGGGGTGATGTGGCAAGGACACTGAAGGTCAGTCATCACCATCTCAGCCTCACAAGGACGCTGGTGGCACCTGAGGACGGGTCTCAGGGTCGGGGCGTGAGCAGGGCGGTGGGACTGCAGCAGGACTGGTGATGCCAGGGCAGGTTTCCATGCTCGCACCAGGGATTTATAAGGACAAGATTTTCTTGAACCCTGCTGCTCTGGCCTGGTTTGCACGCAGAAGCCGGCTCTTGCAAGTGGCATCTTGACACTAAGCAGAATTTGCCGCCGGAGGGATTCTTCCATAATAGGCAGGAGAGCAGCAACTCTGCAGCTCCGCAGAGAGCTCTGAGGGACCTGCTCCTCCCTGACAGCCCTGCCCTGGATGGCAGCTACAGGCAGTCCCCAGGGGACTGTCACCACCAGGACTATCCCACTGTAACCCCTCAGCCTGCCTACCTCCAGCCTCCACGTCAGGCCCTGCCAGCCCTGCCTGTCCCAGGGTGGCATCCCCGCTCTCTGCCTGCACCGCGGGGCACTTGCACCGTGCCCCAGCAAAGGCCGCGTGTGACTGGGGAAGGGACGCGGTGGGTTCTTTTTAAGGCATTCTCCTCTTCTTCCATTGCACCGGTTGGGAAAGGGGATGTGAGATCTGTGGCAGGGCTGCAAGTGGAGCAAACGCGATGTCCCCCCTCCCCAAGGCAATCCCAGCAGCACAGCCCCCAGATATCCTTTTGTCTGAGCAAACCTAGGTGGGATGGAAGGGAAGGATGGGACGGGGCGACCTGCAGGAGGTGAGGGGTTGAGTCCAGGCCCTCACCTCCCGAAGCGGAAGGTGAAGCCCCCTTTTTTCCTGTTGTAGCCGTTGAGCTCCTCGGCCAGGTTCCCCAGCGTGCCGCTGCGCTTCTCGCCTCCCACCGGCAGCAGCTCGGAGCCCCCCCGCCTGCCCAGCCGCTGCCTGCTGCCCTCCTTGCCGTAGCCCCGCAGCTCCTGGGCGATGCCCAGCAGCGTGCTTAGCTCCTTGCTGCATCTCGGCTTCACTCCTGCCCTCCAGCAGGCACCCGAGTCCTCAGCTGCTGCCGCTTGCCAGCTGGGCTTGAGCGGGGTCCCTTCCCCGGGGTCTCCCAGCTCCTGCCGCTCACTAGGAGGGAAGCAGGCCCCCAGGCTCAGGAGGACGAGGCAGGACAGTGAGTAGGGTGCTCTCATCTAGGGGAAGCAGAGGAATGGAAAGACATGGTCGGTAAACCGCAGGGCGTCCTCGGGCAGTGGCTAAAGCAGCAGCAAGGGCTGCTCTTGGCTAGCACGCGTTCCCCGTTCCTGCTGCAGCACCCACAAACCAGCCCTGCCACCCCTACAGCCTGCGAGAACCCCCCTCCAGCACCCACCACCACTCCTGCAGCCTCCACCCCAGCACCCACCTGCAGCAGGGGTGCTGGGGGGGTCTGAGCTCGCTCTGCCTCTCCCCTGCCTCCTTCAGACCTGCTCCCCTTCACCTTTAGCCGCTCTGTGCTCACAAATTACAGCCTTGCAGCTACTCCCCTGGTTTGCAGCCAAGAGCTGGGCTCTGCTCGGATGGGGGTGGCTGAGTGGGCTATTAGCTGGGCAGGCTGATGGGCTCCCGAGCCGCCTGCTCCTCTTAGAGGCACTGCGGGGAGGACTTAAGTGCATTCACCTGAGCCGGCCTTGTCTTCCCATCGCGCAGGTCCTACCTGCAGTGCCTGGCTAATGCGAGTGCGGAGGAAGGTGCTCGGCATCCCTCTGCTTTGTGGGGCTCGGAGGTGCCCCCGCGGCAGCAGGGTCTGCTGAGCAGAGCGGGAGGGAGCACGGTCCTGGCCCGCGAGTGGCGATGCCACAGGCACTCGGGGTGACCTTGAGTGCGGGCAGGGCTGTTCTGCCTCCCCTTCCTCCTCCCGCAAAGGCTCAGAAAGGGGAAATGGATTTTTTAAAGTATTATTATTTTTTGCTGCACATGTTAAAAGTCACTGCTGGTGACAGGGGCCAGGGGCTCTACCCTGTGCTTGCAGCGGGGGGGCCTGCTGTGGGTGCTCCTTGCTCCTGCACCGGACCCAGCTGAGCCCAAGCACCTGCCTGCCCTCCCCAGCACCTCCCTGCCTGCGGGCTTTGCTTTGGGGTGCTCCCTGCCGCTGTTCTGCGCTCTCCCCTTTTGCTCCCGGTTGCAGCCAAATCGCTGGGTGCAGCCAGAGCAGGGAGCACCTTCCCAGCACCAGCAACTGGTGCTGCCGAGTCCCGTTCCAGGGGCTGGGGATAAGGGTGGGTGCCCTGTGCGGCCCTGCCTGCTGCCCCCAGCTGCCTCCCACCAGCCTCTGCCTCCTCGCTGCCTGTTGAGGCAGGGTGTGAAGCAGGCACACGGAGGAAGACAGACAGACAGACTGCCGCCAGCAACTCACCTCTCCTCCTCGGGCGATGCCTCAGTGCCGCCTGCCCTGGCCCTGCTCCGTGCCGCCCTGTGCCCAGACTGAGCTGGCCAGCCTGCTTCACCCGCCGTTAAATACCCGCCGGTGCTAATTGCCGTGTCACCCCTTGAGCGCGTGGCTGGCTCGCGGGGCTGTGGCTGCACGGAGCAGAGGCTGGGATCCTCGTGGGGAGGGGGCTGGAGAGGGGGACGGGGGCTGGCCAAGTCAAGCCGCCACAATGGGAGCGCGGCACCACTGCTGATTAACGCGCCTCCTTCGTTTGCTGCCTCATTTGGAGGAGAGGCTGGGTGCGTGCTGTGCTGGAGCTGGCCTTGAGTTGCCGGCAGCTGGCGGGGACGCTGGTGGGAGAGAGGGTCTCGTCCAGGGCCATGAGTGTCCCCCGCCCCCTCAGCCAGTGCATACTTGTGTGCGGCTGTTGGGGGTCCTAGAGGTTTGTGCAAGTGCGGTGGGTGTGCAGGCACTGGCGGAGACGCCTGCAGCCCCAAACCCGCTCAGGGACTGGCCCTGCGTGCGCAAGCCCGAGTGCTTCCCCCACCCTTGGCCAGTGCACGCAGCCACTGGTGCTAAAGTGTGGTCCCCAACGCCTGGCACTCGGCTGTCCCCTCCTGGGTCTGGCCTGGCCTGGGGCGGAGCGGGGCGTGCGGTGGGCAGCGGCGCCCTGCCCAAGAGCGCAGGCAGGGGGGAGTCGGTCCCCTTGGCACTGAGACCTGCCACCCCCTGCCCCAGCCCCAAGGCCACCCCGAGGTCCCGCAGTGCCTGGGTTTGGGCTGCAGCCCCTGGAGTCCTGGGAAGTCTCCGTGGCCCCGCCGGCTCTCCCCAGCCCTCCCCGGCAGTTTTGCAGAACAGTTTGGGCAGGCCAAGCCCACAATGGGCCGCTTCCCGGGGATGCTGTGCCATGAGCCTGGCGCAGAGAAGGAGCCGTCACCCGCAGCATGGCAGGAGCTGTGGTAATCCGGTGCTGCTCCCTTTGCCATCGCCATGGCAGGTTCTTCTGGCGATGTCCCCGTGCCATGGGCGCAGCCGCCAACACGCCAGCTAACGATGAGTTCCTTTTATTAAGGAGTTTAGAAAGTCCACATGTACAGCGTTGGACACCACTCACACACGACCTAGACTTCACGGCACTGCTACACACCACGACCCGGCCCAGGGCTTCGCCGGGAAGGTATGTGGCCAGGTCCCGGACCCACCGGCCGCCCCTGCCCACCCCTCTCCGGGCAGGTGTCACCACGGACGGGTTTAGCCTAATCCGGGGCCGCAGAGCGACGCGTGCGCTCTTGGGAATAATCCTGGGAAATCCTGCATCTCAGTGTGGATTAAATACCTCTCGTGCAATTCAAAACAAAGTCATTAGGGAGTCCTGGGTGACACGGGCAGTTACACAAGGGTGTGCTACCAACAAACTGCACGTACGCTGTCCCCTCCCCAGCACGGAAAATCACCAGTGGAGGGGTCCAGGGAGGGGACGAGCCTTCCTGGCCGGGGCACGTGGCTCAGTGTGCCTTCTTGTCCTGAAGGTGAGTGCTAGGAAACCCAGCTACAGCTAATCTACTGAAATAAATGAACAAAAAATAAAACGGGCATCGTGCTCCCCACCTGCATGGGACCCATTCCGGAGGGGTCCTGTGGGGCGCAGGAAGCCCCTCAGGAGCTGCCGGGGGCTCCTGCTCTTGTGCTGGCTAGGAAATGCCACCACCGAGCTCCTCCAAATCCCACCACTCCAGAAACCCAGCCTGGCCAGCTGCTCTGGGCAGGGATGGAGTGGGTAGAGCTGGTGCCTGCGCTTGGAGCTCCTCCTCACCCGAGGCCTCCGGGGAACGTCTCTGGCGGAGGGGAAAGCTGCGGTGAGCCCCAATGCATTGTTTGTCCCTGCTTCCCCAGCAGGACAGACAGACAGGGACTTGCCCGGCAGGCGAAAGAGCTCGTCCAGCACAGGGTCGGAGGTGGGGAAGGCTTAAAAAAAGGAGAAGCACGCAGGGAAGTACAAATCTGCCACAGCCAGGAAGATGAGCCTTTGATCTCGTGCCTTAAGCACCCCTGGAAATGGGGACGGCAGGAGCTTTCCTCCCCTCCGCGGGCAGTCAGTCCATCCGACGGTGTTTCTGGGGGCAGAGCCTGGGGCGGGGGCTCTGCTCCCCATCGCTGCTGTAGTACAGGCAGAAAATCACGTAAAGGGTGGCAGGGTCCCGGCTGTCCCCCTCCCCTCCCTGTTCCTACACAGCCCACTCAGGCTTGGGTTTTGTTTTTTTTTGGACAAAATCCCCCATTTGAGTCCTCCCAGGGAGCCAGAGGGAGCAGTCAGCCCCACACCATGCTGCAGCTCCTCCTCGGGTCGGCCGGCACGAGGCATCACCTGCCGCCCGGTTATCAGGGCCCTGCAGATGCTAAGCCCCACTCGGGGCTTCTTTTTGCAAAACCTTAATGGGATTTGGAGAAATGAAAGGCTTTGATTATCTGCAGGTGCCGAGCCAGAGCGTGGCTCATCCTGGGTGAAAATGAATGCGGGTCCCTGGGCTGGGAGTGAGCGGAGGGGGCTCGCGCGGGGGCACGTGGGCACGCTGTCCAAAGTCAAGGCTTTCAGGAAAGGTCACAGCTCTTGGATGGTGAAAGTCCAAGATGAATCTGAGCGGGTCTGGATGGGAGGGAGGAGATGTGAAACACAGGCAGAGCCATGCCAGGAATTGAGCCTTCCTCGCCTCCGCCTCCTTGCCATACTCCCTGTTTCCCCAGCACCACCAAAACTGCTCCGTGCCGTGCTCTGTTCTGGGTGTGTGTCCTTGCAGCACCGGGCCAGCTTGCTTTGGGGTGTCCCAACCTGCTGGGAGCTGCAGGAGCCAGGACAGGGACAATGGGGATGAAGGAGTTTGTGGTTGTCCCTTTCCAGCTCCATTGCTCTTGCAGGGGCAGAGGCGAGTGTTGTGCAGACCAGCGAAGGAATTCCTGGCACGGTCAGGCGTCTGCATGGGCTGCAACCCAGCCAAGCCCTCCCCGTCCCCAGTAGCACCGTGGGGTGAGCTGGAACTGCGGAGCAGCAGCCTCATCCCAGTCTCGGGGGCTCTGCGGGGCCCAGGGCTCCCCACGGTGATTTGTCCCCCAGTCCCTCGCCAGCTTGGCCAGGCTACGGCCGGCTGTCCATGCCCGAAGTGGAGAGGAGCGGAGGTGCCCAGCCTGCCGCATCCCTTCCTCCCTCCCTCCAGGCAGCCCCTTCCTCTCCTTGCCAGACACTGCTGGGCACCGCTCCCCAAATCCCTGCAGCCCGCTGCCCTCTCTGCCACAGCCATAAGCACCGGCCGTGGGTGAGGAGACCAGGAGACCTGTTTGGGCTGCAGAGGAGCCATGGCAGCAGGGAGCAAAAGTCCAGTGATGTCCATAGGCACCAGGGAGCAAAAGCCGCCCTCCCCGGGGGCAGATGTTCCCCAGGGGCCCCTCGAAGATGGGCCAGCCCTCGGGGAGGACGGCAACTGGGGGGGACAGGGCTGCGGGGCAGTGGGGAAGGGCAGGGGGCTGGGCACGGGGTGGGGGGGGCTCATGCCATCCAGTTAATTCTCCTCCCGGACAGGCCGGATCTTCATCTCGGTGAACTTGAGGGAGTACTGCCAGCCGGTCCAGGAGGACCACTCGATGCCGTCGGCGTAGGAGCTGTGGTGGCCCTTGAGGTACTGCCCGTTCAGGTTGGAGGTGTGGCAGTTGCGGTACCACCAGGCGCCGTGGTAGAAAGCTGCGCAGTTGTTCTCTGAGTGGTCGTTGTCCAGGTCCTTGGTCGTGAACTTC